GCCACAAAGGCATTCAAGACGGTCCAGGAGGCCGCCGAGAAAGCTCGCCAAGGGCAAAAATCAAGCATTGCCCATGGGAAAGCGCATATGTCTTGGATATCTGCTTTGCAGTACTGCCAGAGGCCGCGACGGCCCCAGAGGCTCCCAAAATGAGCCCCAGACGGCCCGAGAGGCCCCCAAGAGGGCCCCCAGACGGCCTGAAGAGAGCTTCAAGCAGCACAAGAGAGCCCCAACACGGCCCAAGAGAGTACCCAGGAACCTCAAGGGGGCCACAAGAGTATCCCTACATGGTCGAAGAGGGCCCCCCGAGGGCCCTAAGACGGGCTCAGGTCCCCATGACGGGTGAAGAGGGATCCGGAACGGCCGAACTGCGCTTCCAGAAGTTCCGAAAATGGCCTACCAGGACTCCCTGAAGATGGTCCAGGAGGCCGTTGAGAAAGGTCCCGGGTGCCAAAAACGAGCATATCCCATGGAACAACGTACATTTCAATGAGATTCTCTTCCTATGTTCCATCGGCGGCCACGTCGGCCCCAAAGGCTCCCTCAATCGGCGCCACACCCCAAGAGGGCTCCATGACAGCCTCAAGAGAGCGTCGAGCAGCACAAGAGAGCTCCAACTGGGGGGCCCGAGGGAGCCACCGGAGGACCCTTAATGGTCGGAGAGGGCTCCATGAGGGCCCCAAGACGGCTCAGAAATTGGCTCCCAGACGGACCACAAACGGCCCAAAAGGAATCCCCCACGACTGTCCAAGAGGCCGCTGAGAAGGCCCTCAAAAGCCACACATCAAGCATGTCCTATGGAAAAACGTATATTTGTGGGAGCTTCGCTTTTCGGTTCTACCAGCGGTCGCGACGGCCCAAGAGGTTACCAAAATGGGCCCTAGAGGCTCCAAAGAGGGTTCCAAGATGGGCTGAAGAGAGCTTCAAGCGACACAGAAGAGCTACAAGACGGCCCAAGAGAGCCTCCGTAGCCATTTTGGCTCAAGCGGTTGCCGAGCGAGGCTGTCACATCACGCTGCGGCCTTGTGAGCTGGTCACCCCCCGTCAAACTTCACACTTCGAGCAAGAATCCCACAGGACACAATGCGCGAGGCGATCTGCATCCACATTGGGCAGGCGGGTGTGCAGATTGGCAATGCATGCTGGGAGCTCTTTTGCCTTGAGCACGGCATTCAGCCTGACGGCCAGATGCCCTCTGATAAGACGATCGGAGGTGGCGACGATGCCTTCAACACGTTCTTCTCCGAGACTGGCGCCGGCAAGCACGTCCCCCGCTGTGTGATGGTTGACCTGGAGCCCACTGTGGTCGATGAAGTACGCACGGGTACCTACCGTCAGCTGTTCCACCCTGAGCAGCTCGTCTCTGGGAAGGAGGACGCCGCAAATAATTTCGCGCGAGGGCACTACACCATCGGCAAGGAGATCGTCGACCTGGTCCTCGATCGGATCAGAAAGTTGGCCGACAACTGTACGGGCCTCCAGGGCTTCATGATTTACAATGCTGTCGGCGGAGGCACTGGCTCCGGGCTTGGCTGCCTGATGCTGGAGCGCTTGTCTGTGGACTACGGGAAGAAGACGAAGGTCTCTTTCACCGTGTGGGCTTGCCCGCAGGTCGCCACGGCAGTGGTGGAGCCCTACAACACCGTGCTTTGCGTGCACTCCCTCCTGGAGCACACAGACGTCACCATCATGTATGACAACGAGGCATTGTACGACATATGCCGCCGTAATCTTGATATCGAGCGCCCTACTTACACCAATCTGAACAGGCTGCTGGCGCAGATCATCTCCTCGCTGACTGCGTCGTTGCGCTTCGACGGTGCTCTGAACGTGGACATTACCGAGTTCCAGACGAACTTGGTGCCCTACCCGCGCATTCACTTCATGCTCTCGAGCTATGCGCCCGTTATCTCTGCGGAAAAAGCGTACCATGAACAGCTATCAGTGGCGGAGATCACCATGTCAGTCTTCGAGCCCTCTTCTATGTTTGTGAAGTGCGACCCTCGTCACGGCAAGTATATGGCATGCTGCATGATGTATCGCGGGGACGTAGTGCCCAAGGATGTGAACGCTGCGGTAGCTACTATAAAGACCAAGCGCACCATTCAATTCGTGGATTGGTGCCCCACGGGCTTCAAGTGCGGCATCAACTACCAGCCTCCCACTGTAGTCCCTGGCGGTGACCTGGCTAAAGTCATGCGTGCTTGCTGCATGATCAGCAACTCCACCGCCATTGCAGAGGTTTTCTCGCGCATCGACCACAAATTCGACCTCATGTACTCGAAGCGCGCGTTCGTGCATTGGTACGTGGGCGAGGGTATGGAAGAGGGCGAGTTCTCCGAGGCTCGCGAGGACCTGGCGGCGCTGGAGAAGGACTATGAAGAGGTGGGCATAGAGACCGCGGAGGGCGAGGGCGAGGAAGAGGGCTACGGCGACGAGTTCTGAGCAGTCTGCCAAAGAGCAGCGGCGCATTGGAGGGTCACCGAGGAGTAACACTCTCTTTGAGAAACTGCGTATTTGCACGACTTTTCTCAAAGACTTGCTTGCAGTAGATTGGCGTGTCTTCCACGCTGACCTTCGGCTGCTCACTTGCACGATACATCTTGACTCGAGGTGGCCGAATTGCTAGGCCGCTTCGCGCCACTACTACATTGAAATCAAATCATTTGAAATCATGCTTGTAGGAAAAAAAAAGACGGCCCAAGAGAGCCCCCAGGAAGCCCGAAGAACCAGAGGATGCCTACATCATGGTCGGAGAGGGCCCAAGGAGGGCCCCAAGACGGGCTGAGCTCCTCACGACGAGCCAAGAGGGACCCGGAATGGCCGAAAGGGGCCCTCAGACGGGCCAACAAAGGCCCCAAAGGGCTCCAAAGGAAGGCCCGGAGAGGCTCCAGAGATTGCCACAATGCTTCCAAAAAGGCTCCCGGCACGCGTTCCAGTAGGCACCCGTGTATTGGGTCCGTTGAAAAAATAGAGGAGGAGGAGGAGGAGGAGGACAAGGAGGAGGAGGACCAGTGGAAACCCAAGAGTCAACGATGTTGGAATTAACCCTCCCTCCATGCTCCCTCTTCATAGGCCCCTACAACGGTTCATTGCCTCGTTGGCAGACAACAGTTTGAAGATCCTGAAGCGTGCCTAAACATTGTTTTCGGGATTGCAACGCCATGTGTCAACCTGACTGCTGCGTCTTGACGATCCATAATATTCCAAGAGCGCCATGTTGGGGATTTCAACACAGCAATTCTACATAACTGTTGCGCCCGCATAATCCTGATTCCTTCCAAAATACCGCTTCTGGTACGCTGATCATGGGAATCGTGAAACCCTTGTAAATTTTTAAACCGAATGCGCGCGGCGCTCAAGCGAGAACCACATTTTGAAAAGGAACCGCCCCCAACCCGTGAAACTCTTGCAATTGTTTCAAACGAATGTGCGCGGCGCTCAGGCGAGAGCCACATTTTAAAAGCGGCCCGCCCTCAATCCGTGAAGCGCACGCAAACTTGTAAAACGAATGTGCACGGCGTCCAGGCGCGAGCCACATTTTGAAAGCGACCCGCCCTCCATCTTTGAAACTGTTGTCACACTTAAGCTACAGAGTCATGAGTGGTGAGGAAGTCTCAGGCGAAACGCCAAGCCCGCCCAAAAGACTGGCTTCGGGGTGCGACTGGGAGGAGTTATTTATAAGGAGCAGGAATGGAGGAGGAGGAGGAAGAAGATGAGGAAGAGGAGCAGGAGGAGGAGGAGGAGGAAAGGGCGGAGAAGGAGGAGGAGGAGGAGGCGCAGGCGGAGGAGGAGGAGGAGGAGGAGGAGGCGGAGAGTGAGGCGGAGGGGAGGACGAGGACGAGGACGAGTACGAGGACGAGGACGAGAGGAGGAGTAGGAGAGGTGGAGGAGGAGGATGAGGAGGAGGAGGGGAGGAGGGGAGGGAGGAGAGGAGGAGGAAGGAGGAGGGGGAGGAGGAGGAGGAGGAGCAGGAGGAGGAGGAGGAGGAGGAGGAGGAGGTGGGAGAGGAGGAGGAGGAGGAGGAGGAGCAGCAGGAGGAGGAGGAGGAGGGGGAGGAAGATCAGGAGGACGAAGAGGGGGAAGAGGAGGGTTGCCTGAAAACGTACCCCAGTGATACCTGGCTTGTGGCAGCCACGCGTTGGTATCGACGTGGAGGAGCAGGAGGACAAGGAGCACGAGGAACACAAGGAGGGACACACCGAAAGGCGGGGAAGACAGGGAGGAGGAAGAGGAGAAGGAGGAGGAAGAGCAGGAGGAGGAGGAGGAGGTGAAGGTACAGGCATCCCTCCAGGGAGACGCCGAAGAGGACATGGACGATTATAAGATGATGGTAAGAGGAATGACGGGAAGAGGAGGAGGGGAAGGGGACTGCAGTGGACCGGGGATGATGACGGCGATGACGCTGATGATGATGACGATGACTATGCCGACGACGACGCCGACGACGACCAACAAGATGTTGATGATGCGGATGATGATGATGCTGAAAAGTACAATGAAGATGATGGCGATGGTGGTCACGATGTTGATGATAATGGTGAGAATGATGATTGTTGTGATGGTGGTGGTGAAGGTGGCCATGACCGTGACGATGACGATGATGATGACGGGGATGAGGACGACAATGATGACGATGATCATGACCCCAGCTAGAACTTGAGCGCGCGCGATGGCTCTTCTAGTATGAATATGTATATGTATACAGGGGTACTGGGGGCCCTGGCCCCAGGCCCGCACACGCTCCCAGATTTCCCCCCCGCCCCCTGCTCGGCACCGGAACTCCGGACCCCCTCCGGGGCCTCTGGGGCCTCCCCCCCTTTGGCCGCTCAGATGATTTCCGGGGAGCACGAGCGACCAGAGCGGTCCAGCAGGGCTGGGCTCCGAGACGCCTCAAGGTGGCTTCCAGACGGCCGCGGAGCCCCCAAGAGGCTCCCCAGACTCTCCGACCGGAGGGCCCCGGATGACGGACGCTGGGCCCGTGACTGTTTTTCGGCCCCAGCCTGACAAATCGTCGGTCTTCCTGACGCGATCCGCTCGCTACACCGTACTGCCTCCAACTCACGACCCGTGGGCCTGAGAGATGGCGGAGACTACCAGCGGCGGCTTCTCTCTTGCCCAGGTGCTGAAGACGTTGGCGTTGTGCACGGGCTACATCGTGCTGAGCGGTGGTTTCGTCAACTTCGACCAGTACCTGATGCACAAGGGGCGCTTCCCACACCCCATGGCGCTCACGGCCATGCACATGTCCGCAAGCTTGATGCTCACCTCACTGGTGCTGCTGATGCGGCCGTCCGCCATGCCCAGCGTGGAGGCGTACAAGGGGAATAGTACGAAGCTCTACAAATATTTGGCGCCCATGGGCTTCCTCTTCGCGATCATGCTTTACGGCTCCGACAGGGCCCACGTGTATTGCAGCGTCGCGCCCTTGCAGGTCATGAAGCAGGCGAACGTCGTGCTCGTCTTCACTTTCTCCACGATGACCAGGCTGGCGGTTTTCAACCGCCAGTGCGTCGTTGTGATCGCGGGGAGCTGAGCTTAGTGTTCATCGGCTTCGTGCTGCAGGGCGTGTCCCAGTTGGCCGAGTGCGCGCGGGCCTTCGTTGCCGAGCTCGTGGTCGCGGGCATCGAGTTCGAGCTGTGCATGTTGGTCCTCGGCATCGGAAGCGCCATCACGCGGGACCGTTCTGTCGTGGCCGTACCTTATCCCGAACGCCTGCATTGCACTCTACCTCAATGTGACGATCGCCCAGGTGACCAAGGAGACCTCGGCGGTGGGGTTCATCATCGCTGGAGTGGTGAAGGACATCTGTCTGGTCGTCTTCTCCTCGCTCTTATTCCACGACCCGATCACCGCCGATCAGTGGCTCTCCTTCTCCGTCGGGGTCATGAAGGGCTTCCCGGATCACGCGACGACGACGGCATCCCAGAAGCTGTTGGGCATTGGCTACGGCCTGCTCCCAAGCGCTCCGCTGGGCAAGAGGCAGATCGGCAGCGAGGCCACGCCGCTGCTGGGGGAGAAAAAGGTCTGAGCGGCTTGGTGTTAAGTCGGGCCTGTTCCTTTACAGGAGGAGTATTCCAAAATAGTAAAAAAATAGTCTGGGGACGATTTGTTGACTATTTTTGAGCATTTGGGGCGCATGTTTTGAATATTTTTTATGTTTCGCCCCCAATCCCCCTGTAGGGGGACACGCCCGACCTAAACTTGGTGCTCGCCCACGGAACTCTGCAGGCGCACGCTACCTGGTACGTACACCGCTCGAGCGCAGCCTATTTCGATGGAAGCCTTTTTCCATGAGTTCTCAAGGGGCTCGTCTTGCTGTTGGCCGTCGGCGCATCCATGCCGAAACCACAATGATGGTACTGTGCAGTCGGGAATCAAGCCAGCCGGAGACGAATCGTCAATGTAAATGCGAGAGATGACGTATTTCGACCGCTGGTGGAATTTCGAGCGTTGCCCCAATTTAGACCTCCTCCTCCTCCTCCTCCTCCTCCTCCTCCACCTCATGTTCACCCCAAACGGCATCTCGGAGCCCAGAGATGCGAGGATGTCTCCAGCGTTACGGGCTGGACCACCTCGCGCGCGGCATCTAGAACCCAGAGTTGCGACGATGTCTCGGGCGAAACGTGCTGCGAGGAAGTCTCAGGCGAAACAGGCCGGACCACCTCGAGCGCGGCGTCTCAGAGCTCCGAGTTGCAGGGGCCTCCTGGGGCCTCCTGGACCCTCCTGGGGACAGCACGGGCGCCAGCACGGAGGCTGGAAGAAGCAGAAGTGAGCTGCTTCTTTTCGCGATGTAAGCCCGTCCAGCTCGGCCTCAGACTGTGCCTATTTTATGGCGGGTCTGGCGCATTTGAAGCATGCGCCCAGGGCGATCACAAATTGATCGGTCAAATTGGCGCCCGCGAGTTTCTCTGAATATCCCGCGAATCCAGGCGTAGCTGGAGTGAGGGATTGTGTGCATAGTTTCTGCAGAGTTATGTGCTCTGCGGCTTGGGTCCGCTTGATCATTTCGAGTGGGCTCTGGGGTTGCCGTCGTGTGAAGGCCCCCTGGCAGTTCCTGACTCGGTGTCCTCTCATCCTGTGGCCTCCTGGACCCCACCTGGGGCTTCCTGAAGCCTCTTGGGGTTCCCAAGGGGGGATATCTAACATGTGGCCGTCGGGGCATCCCAAAATGGTGGGCCACGAATCGACACCGGATGTGTATTAACTTGACACGTTCTGATAAGTGGCCTCCTGGGAGCCTCCTGGGAATCTCCTGGGGACCCCTGGGGCCTGTCCTGGGCGTCCTGCGGCCTCCTGAAGCTCTCTGGGGCCTCCTGGGGCTCCCAGGGTTCCAGGGGGGATATGTAACATGTAACATGTGGTCTTCTGGGCCTCCACGCTGGACCACCTCTTGGGCGGCATCTGGGAGCTCAGAGTTGCGAGAATGTCTTGTACGAAACCGGCCGGACCACCTTGCGCACGGCATCTCAGAGCTCACAGTTGCGAGGATGTCTTAGGCGAGACGGGCCGGACCACCTCGCGCAGGGCATCTCAGAGCTCATAGCCGCGAGGATGTCTCAGGCGAAACGGGCTGGACCACGTCGCGCACGGCATCTCCGAGGTCAGAGTTGCGAGGATGTCTCAGGCGAAATGGGCTGGACCACCTCTTGCGCGGCAGCTCAGAGCTCAGAGTTTCGATCATGTCTCTGGCGAAACGGGCCAGAACACCTCGCGCGCGGCATCTCAGAGCTCAGAGTTTCGAGAACGTCTCAGACGAAACGGGCCGGACCACCTCTCGCGCTGCATCTCGGAATGCAGAAGCGCGAGGATGTCTCAAGTGAAGCGGGCCGGACCACCTCTTGGGCGGCATCTCGGGGCTCAGAGTTGCGTTGATGTCTCAGGCGAGATGGGCCGGACCACCTCGCGCAGGGCATCTCGGAGCCCAGAGTTGCGAGGATGTCTCCAGCGTAACGGGCTGGACCACCTCGCGCGCGGCATCTCGGACCCTAGAGTTGCGACGATGTCTCAGGCGAAGCGTGCTGCGAGGAAGTCTCAGGCGAAACGGGCCGGACCACCTCGAGCGCGGCGTCTCAAAGTTCCAGGTTGCGGGGGCCTCCTGGGTGTCGAGTGCGTGGTCCCAAGAACAGAGTTCCAGAGGCCTGGGGATGCCGGGGCGCGGTGGGGGGCCAGGTGGGGGGCACCGGTAGGTTTCAGGCTAGAAATTGTCGAGTGCAGGGTCCCAAGTAGACAGTTCCAGAGGCCTGGGGATGCAAGGGCGCGGTGGTGAGCCAGGTGGGGGGTATCGGTAGGTTTCAGGCTAATCCAGAAGCCCTTATAATGAGGACGATCGAGGTCGTTTCAAAGCAGTCCCCGGGGACTGCTTTGAACGCTAGGCAACGTTCAAAGCAGTCCCCTGGGACTGCTTTGAACGATGCGGATTTCTAGCCAGAAGAGTGCAGGGAGGAACAGGAGGAGGAGGAGGAGGAGGAGGAGGAGGAGGAGGAGAAGGTGGAGAGGGCTGTTGCAAGGTGCGCCGATGGCTCCTGTCCGTCGCCACGCTGTGCCCAGGGGGGGAAGAGGTGGAGGAGAAGGAGGAGGGGGAGGGGTTCGAGGAAGGATCGGCGAGGTTTTTCTCATCAGTTTCGGCCTATGGAGGCCCAGCGGGACAACAAAGCCGCAGCTGCGGCGATCCAGAGGAATTCTTTCAAAATCGAAGATTCCCCTCTGCCCCTCTGCCTTCAAGGGTGTTTGCATATATATATATATATATATATATGTATGTATGTCCGTATGTATGTATGCATGTATGCATGTATGCATGTATGCATGTATCCATGTATGTATGCATGTATGCATGCATGTATGTATGTATGTATGTATGTATGTATACATATATGTACATATATATATATATGTATAGATTGATATCGGTATATATGTTTGTATTTGTCGTCGCCGTCGCCGCCGTCGTCGCCGTCGCCGCCGTCGTCGCCGTCCTTTCAGGGCCCCCCCCGCTTCGAGTAGCGGTCACGGGGGGGGGGCATCCTGGAGGGGCGCGTTCTGTCTCCCTCCCTGGGTTTTGGGGCGCCCCCCCCCGCCGCGGGAAACGGTCGCGGGGGGGGCGCTCTGGTGGGGCGCGTTCTGACCACCTCCCCTGGGCCCTGGGGCACCCCCCCCCCGCCGCGAGGAAGCGGTCACGGGGGGGGCGCCTTGGAAAGGTGAGCTCTCGACCCCTCCCCGATCCTCCTCGCTGCATTTTCCCTCCCGCCCTCCTCCTCCAGTGCCGCTCGGCTCAAGCAGTGCCGCTCGGCTCAAACCAGCGCCGACGTCGGCGGTGGCGCGGGCTCGCGCCTGTGCAGGATGGACAGAGAATTGCACACATTGGCAAATATGTGCGAAACGGCGGCCCTGGAGGAAGCAGAGAAAAATAGGGCCGCCGTTGCGGAGCCTCCATGGGGCAAAGGCGGCGATGGGGCAGCTCGTGGGTGGTGGGGCGACCGCAGCGGCGGATGGGGCGGCAGGGATGGCCGCAGTGGTGGATGGCAAGGCGGAGATTGGCGCAGTGGCGCATGGCAAAGGGATGGATGGGGAAACGGCGACGGATTTGACCGCAGTCGCGGATGGGAGTGCGGCGGCGGAGGTCGGCAATGCGGAGAGGAGGGTGGCGGCGGAACTCATGGCGCCAGTGGAAGTTGGGAGGACCGCGCCAGCGGTGGAGGGGAGGGCGCAGGCGAACGCGAGCAGGACCGCTGGAGCGGATGGGAAGACGGCCGCTGGAGCGGTTGGGAAGTCGGCCGCTGGAGCGGATGGGAAGGCGGCCGCGAAAACCAATGGCAAGGCGCAGTTGCGCACGTCCAAGGAGAGGGCGCCCCCGCGGGGCGAGCGGCAGGCGACGCGAAGGGTAAGGGGACAACCGCAGTGGCGCATGTCCCAGGGCGAGGAGGTGCCGCAGTTGCGGACGCAAGCCGCCCTGGGGTGCACGCGTTGGAGTATTTCCAAACCTACGCGGCGCGCTGGCATGGCAACTATAAGCAGCACGACGCGGCCTTGAAGTACTACCGCGAAGAGTACGAAAACCCAGCCGACCCCTTCAACCGCCGATTTCCTGTTTTTGACCCCGCAGTTGTGGAGCCGATTTCGCGCATCATCAAGCGCAAAGGGCGCGGATGGGGCGCAGGACAACAGGGGCTGGGAGCGGGGCCGCGCAGAACTGGTCCCGTGGTCTTGGCTGCAGCTGGTCGCGCAGATGGATGCGGCCACAATGGAACTCGTCGTGTGCGGCCCTGACAACGACCGCAGTCGCGGATTGGTCAGGTGCGAGTTTCGGCCGTGCCCCGGCAGTTACGACCACAATGGGCACGCCAAAGGGGTGGGCAGAGGAGAAGCGCAGGCAGTCCGCTTGCCCGTGTGGGATTTCGTCCTCATCCGCGACGACGGCTCAGGCATTCGCGTTCGCCCGGAATGGTCCAGTCCGAAGTTCAGCCTGTATGAGGTTGAGCCTCACTGGGGGCCCTTGCAGCCCCCGGGGGCGGGCCTCGGCAAGAGCGCGGGGCGTGGCACGTACGCGTATTACAAGAGATTGCACGCCAAGCCAATATCGGGGCGGTTCGACGCAACCAAAGGAGCTGGGCTACAACCGAGGTGGGAGAGGGCTTGAAACCGCAGTTGCGGAGACCGATCTCGTGACACCGCGATCCTTTCACTCGCTTCGCGCGCCGTCGTCCGCAGTTGCGGCGCCCCCGCTCGCATTCCGGACGCGTCCGCCCGCAGTTGCGGCGCCCGCGCGAGTGAACTCCGCAGGCGGTTCGTCTGCGCTTCACTTCTTTTGAGTCAGTCAGCAATTATCTGGGCTTGCCCGCAGTTGCGGCAGGCGGAAGCGCAGTTGCGGCGCGCGGCTTCTCGCGCGAAGAGTCACGAAGAACAACTCCACGGCTCATCTTGCCTTACTCTTGTCGTCGCCTAAGTCATTATTTCTTCTGGATTCCCCTTCGTCAATGCCGGGCCCTTTGGCCCCACTCTGTCGTCTTCTATCTCTCCTCGATTCTCCTTCGTCGCCCCCCTCCTCCTCCTCCTCCTCCCCAGTCCTGTCCTACCGCG